TTTTCGAGTATACAGTGGCTAGCTGCGTTTCAGTGATCGCCGATCGAGATTTCAATTATTATTTTACATTATTTGGATAAAGAAAAGTTAAGAGAATTCAATATCGATGTGATGCTGATAGAAATCTGGATCAATTTGTGATCAATTCTGTTTGTTTTGTTTCCTAATTAAGTGAAGAAATTTTAATTGACAGCACCGACAAATGAATAAAACAAAAGCAAATGGTCGGTCATGGTTAAAACAATTCAAATTTTTGTATTGAAGTTTTGGTTTAAAATTTATTTTTTCCTTTTCAGTAGGGTTTTTGCACATTATCTTTTCCGTGAGAATTTATCGTAATAGATACGGATCTGAATAAGCGACTGGAACACGGCTGTTTGTCAAAAGCATACGATTTCGAACTCGCGTAAATGTACATTTGCCAAATGCGGTAGCATGAACGCTCTTCGAAAACATATGTTCTAAAGTGCTAAATGTTGCATTTTAAATGCAGCAAAAACGCTGCATAAATGATTATTGAGGACTAGGTATGGCAGCACGAAATGTCACAATCTGCTTAATTGTCAGGTAGTTAATATGGCGCCCAAAAAGTGACAATAGTTGTGTTTGTTTACAAATTATCCAGTAACTTGCCAGTAACTCTCCAGTAACTTTATTTCTAAAAATTCGCACTCATAGAAAAAATTTGCACAAAAATACGCGAACACTATTCCAGTAATAATTTGCAAGTTTCATGAACAGCTGATAAATTGGTTGTTTATTCGCAGCAAATTCCTAATAAAACTATATATTTTATATTTAAATAGGTTTATTTTGTGAAATTCAACAATAAAAACCCACAAACAGTTTCCTTATTAGTTTAAATTTCATCCAGCAACATGCGATCAGCTGTTTTTCGTACTGGCAAATTCTTACAAGTAAAAATTTATCCAGAAAAATCCAGTAAAAACTTGCAACTTCAACTGTCATTTTTCGCTCTCTCAATTTCCCCTACTTTGCAAGTTTTTGCGTACGAAAACGCCAAAACATGAAAGTTCGTAAAAACTTTTACTGGATTTTACTGGAAATGAGTAAAAAAACGCAACTAATGAAACTACCTTCTTTTTTGTATCATGGTTTCACCTACGGACTACATCTGTCAAATTATTTCAACACGCACTCTTATGTAAATAATTATTTTGACGATGAGAGCTACACCGCGATTGTGGTTGTGACCAGATTAGGTCTATTTCTATTTTTTGGGCGACAAAGTCAAGCTGTCGCGTTCAAAAAATTCATGTCTCCATCGACAAAGCGTTTAGATGTCGAGGATAACAAATTGGAAACTGTGACCCGTGGCCCGTCGTTTTCAATGTGTTCAGACTATGTTTTTATCATGGATAAAACCCTGCGAGGCAGTCTTCTAATACTATGCCTCCATTGTGAGATTTAATGAAGATTTAGCCCTCTGACGAGATTTGACGTTAAATCTTTTGAGATTTACCATATAAAATTAAATCTCGAAAGACAGTAGATTTAAGTTAAATCTTCGTCAAATCTTCAATAATATTGATCAATAAGTACAATTTGTTGGATGTGGCAACCACAAATTCACATGCCATAA